AAAATAGTCTAAAATTGATAAATTATCAAAAATCAGCTTAGTCAATTGTTATACATTAAGAATTAGTGAACTTTTGAATCATTTCTCACTTTTTCAGTGACTTACTTATAATCAATCATTTATATATTTTTTAATTATTTTATTATTTTTTATTTTAACTTTACATATTATTATATATTTAATAAAAAAATATATTTAACAATATTATTTATGAAAAATGTTAACAAAAAATTAAGTTTCTTTTAGCCTGTCTATTTCTTTTTAATATCTCATTCTTATTTCTTATTATATAATTATCATTTTCATTATCTTTATCATCTGTATCATTTGTTTTACCATTAAAATTAATATCCTAATATTCATATTCATTTCTAAAAAGTTGTATAAAATTATCACACAATATGTAAATAAATTTTCATTTCAAATATTTTAATATCAAGATCTTTTAATATTCTAAATCTTGTTTTTAATTTTCTAAAAACATTTTTACTACAACTTAATGATGTGAATGAAATTAATTAAATTCTTTATGTTTTTGAAAACTAAGATCTTTAAAAGGTAAAATTAAAAAAGATGAAATAGAATAGATTGAATTATCTAAGAGATAATTATCATCTTGAATAGGATGAAAATAATTTTTATAAAAAGATGAATTTCTAAAACTTGAGTATCATATATTAAACCTGACCATTTACATTAAAACTAATAAAAATCCTACAATAATTTATAATGCATTAACAATAAATAGTATAATACTTTTTCTAATAAAATAAACTTCTAAATCTTTATTTAGAACATTTCTTATAAGAATATATATTCTATCAACTGCTCTAATTACATCTTTAAGTTCTCCTAAATTTTCAAATCCTTATGAATTTTTTCACATTTATCTAAATAGGTATTTAACAAAACTTTTTTTGTCATAATTGCTTGAATAACTTGTTTAATATAAAGAATCACTGTTTCTTCTTCTATTCTAAATCTTGAACAAATCTCAAATAAACTTCTAGTAAATCTAAGTTAATAAAAAAAATACAGCTAATTGAAATCTAATACAAGCTAAATTTTATTTTCTCATAATAAAATATAGGATAAAATCATATAAGATTAGCTAATTGTTAAAAATGATGTAAAACATTTTTAAAAGATTTAAATTAAACAGAATTATAAAATAGAAGAACAGTTTGCTACCAATGCTTTGATTTTACTATATGATATAATCTTAGTCTTAAATACTACGTATTTAATTATATTATTAAAGCAGTTTGTAAAATAACATTATCTTCTTTATTACTTGAAGTTTCCTTGTCATATTCTTCATATTTTTCTTCTAAAACATTTTTAACTATACATTACAAATTTTTTTTGCAGTTCATATTATGTAAAAATGCTAATTATATCTATTACAAATAAATATAATTGATTCATTCAATCAAAAATTGTATTCAATTGCAATTACAATCTAATTGGCTATAAATTTTTTTGGTCAATCCAATCTGATCTAAAATTTAACAGGATTAATGTTAATCAAATAATAGTAGAATAATGCATTAAAAAATAATTTTAGTAATCTGTATTTGCTACTGATCAAGGTCTGATCTGATCTAATCTAAAACTGCTTAAGAAAAAAATAAAATAATTAATAAAATAATAATTAATAATAAAAAAAACTAATTACTAAAATAAGAAAAAGAAAAAAAAATAAATCAAAAAAATTAATCAGCTTGCTTTTGCTATGATGATGAACTAGATGGTCTATTTAAAAGTTCCATCTAGTTCTTAGCCTAAGAGAAGGAACCAATTGAACTAATCATACTTAAATAAAAAAAGAAATAAAATAAAATACATGCATTATTTACAAATATTAAGGCTAACTATGACTAAGAATCTAATTAAAATCATTTAATTACAGATTATTGCTAATTATAATCAGATTATGGATTCTATGTGAAATGTTGTATCATTACAAACTGTAAAGTATTATTGAAAATTTACAAAATTTAATATTAAATGATATAGGATATTTTCAAAATTTTATCAACTGCAACATAATTGTATTTATTTAACTTATGTTTGTTTTTTCTTTTATTTATATCATATACTATCGCTAATTATTTCAATTATCTAACTTGATGATTATTTTTGATAAATTTCAATATCTTAAATTATCACTAATTATCTCGATAATTATTATCATTAAATTTTCATATTGTTTAATTACATCATATATTGGAGATAATTGTTGTTAATCATCCCAATTCGTTAATAATAATTTTTTTAATGTGATAATTTGTGATAATTTGTGATAAAGTGATGTTTATCCCCCTGAAAATTTTGCTGATGCACTTTTAGATGGACCCTTCAGCTCATCATAACAGCGCAAGCAGATTGCAAATATTTCTATCTTTCTTTAAACTTTAATTATTATGTACATGTATTTGTGTAATATATATTTATTTAATAAAAAAAAATTTATTAAATTATTTATTTAAGCTATAATATCTTTATTTTTACTGATAGATCAATTTAGACCATATTGTTGAGATAGAATACCATATTTTTAGAATGCTAAGTTGTTCTAATTAAAATTTTAATATAAGTTTTTTTTTAGTACAGTTCGCCTTCCTTTATTTTATATATTCATCTTAATTCCTTCCCCCTTTTCCTTGCGATACTATCGCTTAACTTCATAACTTTGCTAAAATTTCGTTAATTTTGTCATTTTAATATTTTCATTTATTTTTATTTTCTGATTATTATTTTGTGTAATTTCAATTAATTAGCATTTAGTGGTTAATAATATTGAATTGCGAAAATGTAGAGCACTGAACACTGATTAATTAATTTTATTAAATAACATTTACATCATAATTAATAAAATCATATACAAAAGAATTTATTTTATTTTCGAAGTCACGTGATAAATTTACATAAAAACTTTTTTTGAGCATTCTTAAAATGTACCTGTGTATAGTCTTTTAACCTGTACCTAATATATAAATAAAATTTTTTAAAGTAATTATTACGTGACGTGATAAAACCAGAACAAGATAGATTTACCCAAGTTTTTTGGTCAAAATTTAAAGGTGACCTAGCTGAGTGATGCGTAGAATTCCTGATTGTATTGTGATGGCAGATACTATAATTTTCAGTTTGTTTTTATTAAAATTATTACATTATAACATTTTAATTTACTTTACCTTGCCTTGCATTACGAAAATTCTAATTATTAAACTATAATTTGCTTTTCCAAAAAAATAAATAACTTTTTAAAAAATAACCAGCGAAACGACTTTGTGTACAAAAAATAATTTCATTCAAATTCCTAAATAAAAACAGAGATAAAATTATAAATTTTTTTACTTTTTATGTATTTTTGGTGAAAAATTCTTTGTAAAATATCATTAACTTTCAATATTAATAACGCAATTCAATAAAATTTATATCAGTAAATTATTATGTGACCTCTTCGCAAATATGAAAACTGTATTAAAAGGAATAAATATAATATTTCAAAGAAACTTTTTTATATATTTACATTACAAACATTTTTTAAAAAATCATGGTAAACTTTATTTGTTTTTATTAACAATTTTTATTTAAATTATACGAGTACACTTATATAACAACTCATATGACAAGGCTAAAAAGATCAGAAAGAAATATAATAAATAAAATAAGTAACTTACAAGTTTCGACTTCGTTCCAAGGATGGGGGTATTCAATACGGCTCGGCTCGATCGACTTTCGACTATCGACTACGCTACAAGGATGGGTGATATCCAACAGGACTCGGGTTGCGTGAGCACCCACTCGTGAAACTGTTTTATAAACATAAGGGAAGATGCATAGCAATTCTTATTTCAGAATCGCAGACCCTTACGTTCACGAGCAGTTGTACCGGTCCTTTTTAATTGTATACAATTATAGTCGGTCCCCCCCATCCTTAATAAGAATATTAATAAAAAAAAAATGTTATGAAAATCAAATGACTGTATACCCGTATTTGCCGCTTCCACTTCTTCGTTGTTGACTAATAAAATTAAGAATATTAACATTAATAAGGTACAGCACATTTTTTTTTGAATTATTTTTAGTCTTGTCAATATGAGTTGTTTTTATCGGGAGAAAAAGGAAGTAAGACTTTGAAATCGGAACACGAAATAAAAAGTTATCTCCAGATATCTTCATCGATTTAAAAAAAAATTCTAGAAAAAGAAGTGGAAAAGGGGATTAATTATATCTAAGTAAAAATAGTCACGTAGAAGGTAATAGATGCGATAGATCGAAATATCGGCGACGCTTAGGAGTAAATATCAAGGAAAAAATATTTTTTTGTAATGGAGAATATTCGTCCATGTTTCACGAAATAACGAGAGGAAACTATTGTCGATAATGATAGGGCACTACATTAAAGAAAAAGAATAAAGAGCTTACCAGCAGGTTAAGTTTTGAGATCCAGATATCAGCTACGGCAAGAGTAAATTTTTTAGAAGATAGTCTCTCGCTGAAAGAAAGATAAAAGCCGTGACAGTTTGTTCAAGGTGGGCGCGGTTCATTATGAGAAATTTTTTTTGTGAAAGGGCTACGAAAAAGAAAAGAACATTGGTCATAATTATGTATAAGGTACTATGAGAAAGATGTGCTCAAAAACTTGTCCGCTTTTTTGCTTCTTTATAAAGGAAAAAAAAGGATAACCGCGTGAAAAATAAAAAAAAAAAATAACCGCGTGAAAAATGAAAAAAAATACTGAAAAATGTTTATTTATACAAAGTCATGCTTTTTATTTCCAAATATGTTAATTGAATTCTAAATTTGGCGTATTGGCTTTCGGCTAATAAATTTGCCTACCAACTTTACTGGTAATGTAAGCTCCAATGAATTAATTGATGAGTATAACAATAACAAAGAAAATTCAAATACAAAAAGTTTGCGTTTCAACAAAATTTGTAAATTAAATAATGACTAAATCAATCATAATACCCAGTATCTTTACAATATTATTGGACATAACGTCTTCCACACTTTCCTCTAAATGACGCTTTGGATCCTGTTTTCCAACATGTCGAGTTTTCAATTGTTCTAGTGTTATGGTTGATTCCTCTTAAACCGATTTATTATAAGATTCCGCCAATGTAAGCATCGTTTGAAATTTTTTCATAAGCAAATCGAAAAAAAAAATCTTTTCTGTAAATATAAATCTTTACATTGACACTCTTTCCATTGATCTCGGTGTGTTCCGCAAAGTTTGGCAGCGTCAATCCATGGGTCCAAATTTTGTGCAAATTGAGCAACAAATCCATTCTTTCGATAATAAATAGCAATCGAATAATAATGGATCAAAGCCTAAGTAAGGATAAATCAAAGAGTTAACGAATATAAACTTTAAAATCAAAACAGATTTAAATTAATGATCGTACTTGAATACTTGGTTTATTAAGATGTCCAATATTGGAAGTGGTTTGACGTGGCTCTTGACCTAGCATAAGCATTTGAGGATTGATCAGGCGAAAAGCATCAGTAACTACTTTGCCTTTGACAGACTATATCGGATCAACAACAACAACAGCCACAGCCCTTTGATTCAATGCCTCGAAACTTTGTTGTGTATTATATATACACTAGACAGCCAACATCCAAATCAGGGTGAGAGTGATACCAGCCAACCACCATTTCGGGTCTATAAAATTCATTAATCGAAATCAGATATGAACCTCAATAATCTCAGACACAAAAGAACTTCAATTCTTATCGTCCAGTTTGCTTCAACATGTCCAACATTTTTGAGATCGACCGCTTCTACGGAAACGCCTGTACCACTTTGAGGCATAGCAAATACATCAATACACGTACACGAATTCACCAAGCATCAAATCCATAACTTCCATAGGTACTTTATCAATAAATTATATATAAATTGATGTTGAATAATACTTGGAAAAATTAAATAAACCTAACCGTGTTTTAACATCTATCAAATAACAAATACAAAAAATGAAAATTATTAGCGTGATGAATAGTATTTTGTAACCCAGTAATAACCACGCAAAAACCAGAAATTTTTATGACAACTGATTTGATTTCCTACCTTAAGCAAAGCTAAAGAAGAAATATAAACCATTTCGCGTTATCCACAGTTGGAGTATCTGGTGCTCAGTCCGAAAAGTTATGGTAGATTTGTAGAAAATAAATAAAATAAAATTTATTAAATAAGCAAAAAAAGTGTGGGTTCGTACTGGATTGTTTGACCGATACATAGCAAAATGATTCGTCGAAATTTTTTAATATTGTTTTTGATAAAAAAAAATAAATTGGTAGGAGAGTTTATAAAAAAAAGGTTAATTCTGATTTATAAGATTGATCGAAGTTGTAATTCGTACTGCGGTCATTTTCATTATAAGTGAGCGTTTTTATAAAGTTTACAATGACTGGATTTTGTTTAATAAGCCATTAGGAAGGAGAATATTCTAAAAGACTATCTAACTGAAATCTTTCATGATCTTTTATTAAATTTGTTATATCACTATATAAACTATCTCTTTCTTTTTTAGCAATATTTATTATAGCTTCAACACGATCTTGTTGATTATCAAATCTGCTGTTTAACTTTTTCTTTAATATTTCATTCTCAGATAATAACTGCTTTTTTTCAAACAATAACTCCTTATTATCAGATAATAACTGTTTATTAAGACGCTTTCATTCATTAATTTGATTTAAAAGATTTTCATATTCTGGATCTGGTAAAGATACTTGTACAAACTGGTAAGGACACTTGAACTCCAAAATCACAAAAGGTTTGTAATTCACTATTATTATTATCAGAAAGTTTCACCCTTTTTCTTTCACTTTCTTCAAAATCTGTATTATTAGATTTTTTTAATTGATTTATAAAAGAATCTCTGCAATAATTTGATTATAATGTTTTTCACATATAGAGTAATTTGTTAAAGAATCAAGTGATAAATTTAATTCAGGAAAATACTTAGCTAAATTTATAATTTTATTCATTGCTATTTTAGCTGATGCATATTGTCATCTCTGATTTTCTTTAATTTCACATTGTACCAATTAGCTTTCTGGATATTTATTAACAATAGAATTGAATATACAAGGTAGATTTTTAGTGGGTTTTAAAGTTACCATTGCTAAATAGCATATATATAATATAAAAAAAAAATAATTTTAGCTTAAGAAAAAACTGCTTTATAAAGTCTCGTGAATCTGTGTAGATTATGAAATTATACACTTAAAAGAATTTATTTTAATAATTATTTTTTTTGTAAAAAAAAAATTTTGTATAATCAATCGAAGTTTTGAAATTTCATAAAAATAATCATCAAATATCAATTAAATTTTAAGGTGTAATCAAAGAATATTCTAGATTCGATTTTCAAATTTAGTATAAGTTCAGAATAAATTAAAAGAAAGGTTTAATTATACATGTATATATGTAAATAAAAATTTATTAAAAAAAAAAAGGTTATTAAATGACATTCAAAACTCCTTGATTTTTAAACTATAACTAACAGATATTTGAAAAAAAATGAATTGAGGAATAAACAAATAAAACTATCAACATTATTATGTAACTTTAAAGTATTATTTTATGTGCTATATGTATCGTATTTAAAGGATTCTTCTTGAGAAAAAAAAAGGAAGTGCAATCAAAATCTAAATCAATTGGTAAAAAATAAATAAAAAAAATTAGATGTCATAAATTAATGATAATAAATAATAAAAATAATATTATTAATTAATTAGTTTTTCTTATTCATTATATCAATATGAAATTCGCAACAATTTTGCAATTAATTTGAAATGCATAATTAAAGACAAGTTGGAGTATTCAATACCTGAGTTAATGTTACCTATCAAGATATAAAAAAATTTTTCTAAGAAATAAAGAACTTGATAGATTGGTTTAAACTCAAGGTCTCAGATCCTAACAATTGAAAAAAAAGATGATTATTTTGATAACTTTGATATTACACATAACCTTTAAAATACAATTTTGTGAATTTATTATAACTGAAATTGATAACAAAAAGGGTCCTTCATTGGATTTAAACTAGCTTATATTTCAGTCTTTCCATCATTAGCTCTATTGAAAAGGATAAATAATTAAATAATTATAAATAACAGAAAAAAATAATCATGTGTATCCTCAACTATAAATATTAAGTTGTCAATATACACTCAGTAGTAGAGATAGAGCATTAATATCCTTTCTATTAGAGAACACATTTCTCCTAATGTATTGATTATTCAGCCTTTCCTATCACTAACTTTTAATTCACAATATATATAGCATAATAGATATTCTTCTACTATTAGCATATAAAACAATATGCATAAAACTAATTTTTACTTTGATTGCAAGCAAAAACATAACCAATTCCCATATATAACAGTAGACTCAACAGTCATAATCTACTTAATATTATCTAATATCAAATAGAATAAATCATCGAAAGATAAAATAAATAAAACAGTAAAGTTCAAATTTTTTTTATAAAAATAAAAAAACAAAAAAAATCTAGAGTATAAGGCTTGACTTAAAAAATAGTAGAAATAAAAATGACTTGCAAAACCTTTTACTTTGTATTTTTAAAAATATTTTGCATCATGAAGTGAAGTGAAAATTGAAAAGTTTATATAATCACATAAATGATCTATAAATTACGCCATTATGAGAATTAATTTTACGTGTCATATTACATATTAATTTTAAGCTTTTTTAAATAATAATATCAAGAAATTTAAATTGTCAGGTTACCAGATGCTCAAAAAGAAATTAGCAAAAATTTGCTAAGTATTCTGTGACCTATAAAAACTGGACTCTTTTCTTCAATTGCATACAAAAATATAACTTTATATAAAAACAATAATTTTACTATTCTGAGAAATATGTCAACTAGTTAAAGTATCTAATCAATATAAGATCCTATAACCACTTCTTTTATATTCACTTTCAATACCTTTAAAATTGATGAACTGAAGAGATATTTCAAATACAAGTGTAAACTAATAAAATACACTTGAAGGCTAAGTGGAAATAAGCAATATAAGTTATTTTATTATTGCTTCAATAACTTGGCTATTTTATAAGCTAATTGACTACTAATTTTTGACTGTTATTTATTGTCAAGTATTCCATATAGGCTTATTATTAGGGAATAGTAGAAAAATGAGCTTTTTGGCATAAAAAGCTTAAATATATCCAGAAGGTTATCTTGGGTATCAAAAATTTAACACATAGCGTAACCCCATTGTTATTATACATATGACCTTAAGGAAATCAATTTGCTTTCTTGATTGATATTCGCTCTGTAAACATTTGCTTCCTATATGTAAAAATAAATGCCCACTTTAGCACAATCAAGTCTGAAACCTTTTTGGCTCTCATCCTGGATAACATAAGTTTTTCGTATATATTTTAATCAAATTACCTCCCACTAGCATACTGCTTAGATAGCAAGAGAGAATAAGCATAAGGAGGAGCAGAGCGACGATGAACGCGCGTTCGATATAGGAAAATAAGTATGAGTAGGCAAAGCCCTTTAGGGCGACACCTATGAATACGCATTCGACAGGAGGGAATAATAGCAGGAATATAAGCAAAGCCCTTTAGGGCGAAGCAAATATAGATGCTATTATCCCTAACCCATATGCTATCTTATTTAATATATGCTATTATATGAGGCAAATATGAGTGCCAATAAGTGGGAAAATAGTATTTACACTCTGCAAAGTGAAGCGGAGTATGTATATAAGATATGGAAGCAAATAGTGTTTACACTCTGCGGAGCACCGAAGGTGCAGAGCATGTACACAAGATATAAAAACAAATAGTGTCCACACTTTGCGTAGCATTGAAGGTATAAAGCATAATACAAAATATGAAAACAAATAGTGTTCACACTCTGCGGAGCAAAGTGAAGCATATACAAGATATGATCGCATAGTTGCAGAGCAAAGCGGAGCATGTATCCAAAACATGAAAAAAATCAAGTGATATAAATAATCATACATATTGTATTCCTGTTACTAGCCCATCACTAGCCCGAATTTTTGCAAGCTTTTGACGTTGATAAAAATCTCAAATGCGATATTTGCCTGCATATTTCTTACAAACACTATAAACAAAGGAAGTTAATTTTTCACATTCTATACAGAAAACCCACCTAGGAGACTTCTAATGAATTTTACACTCTTCTGGCTGATAGCACCCCTCATTGCACACTTCTCTAGTCCTAAGAATATACGAACAATTATAAAATCCCATTCTAATAGTCTCTTCTTTTTGAATAAATATGTAACTCTAATTATCTGAATAAATTAATT